TCTTCATTGTTAGCAGATCTATATATGCATGAATTTATTAATAATAATTTACACAAAATAAAAGATAAATTATTTAGATATGTAGATGATCTTTTTATTATTACAAAAATGAGTAAAACTGAATTAGAATCATATGTTGAATCATTAAATTTAAACAGAACAAATATGAAATTTACATGTGAATATGAAGAAAATAGCAAATAAATTTCTTAGATACAACAATAACTAGAAATCTTAATGAAAATATAAATTAGATATAAAATGGTTTCGTAAACCAACAGCTAGTGATAGATTTTTAAATTTTCATTCAAGTCATCATCATTCGATTAAACTAAATATTATTAAAAATATGACAGAAAGAATAATTAATACAACGAGAAATAAAGAACAACAAGAAATAGATTTAAATGTATTAAGAAAAATGTTTATAAAATCAGATTATTCTAAAGAATTAATAGAAAAAACTATACAAAAATGTTTACAAACTAATATTAATCAACAAAATCTAAATGAATTAAATAATAATAAACCTAAACCTGAAACTAAATTAACATTATCATTACCATATGTAAAAGGAATAGAAGTTCTAAAACGTAAACTAGAACAAATTGGTGTTAAATTATATTTTTCATATCCATTAAAATTAAAATCTTTAGCCACATTAAATATAAAACCTCAATCTAAATCAATTATATATCAAATGAACTGTAAATGTGGTGCTATATATAATGGAGAAACAAAAGTTGGTTTAAAAGATAGAATGAAACAACATAAAACTAAAATTAAAGAAAATGATATAAATTCATCATCAGAAATAGTTAAACATCATTATATAAAAAATGGACAATGTTCCTTTGACCCGAATAAAGCATTTATTATCGATAATGAAACAAATTATTGGAAAACAAGGAAAAAAAGAAGCGATTTACTCGATAATAAATGAATCTATAAATAAATGTGACTTAATAGATAAATGGATGGAATAATGTTATATATAAAGAATCAAAAAAGATTAAAGAAATAATAAAAAAACGTAATATTGTATAATTTTTACTCTGTTGAAGAACGTTGTTAACGTTCGAAACGTCAGTTATTGTTTAATATATTTGATAGTTCATTTATTGTATTTGTTATTTCATATTTGATTAATAAATTATCAAATTATATATTTTATTTAATAAATTATTATTTTTATTGAAAAAGGAAGAGATAAAATTATTCTTTAATTATGAATGTAACCTTCCTCAAACGTAATGGAAATATAGCTCTTTAAATAAAATAAGTAGATGTCTCAAGAGGTCTTTCATCATTTTGGAATACTTTTTTGTGTTCTTTCTAGTAAATATATTTCATAACGGTATTCCGTGTACCTCTATAATATTTTGCCAGTAGCTTGAATAGCATAAGAATAAAAGCTGGATTGATTTTCATTTGAATGACTAAGTGGATAGTGTGACCTTCAGTAAATTTGTCTTCCTTCATCTTTCAGTTTTACTTGATAAAATAAGAATGACAGATTCTTCATCTCTAACACAAAGTGTATTTTACATGGCTTGTTGTAATAATAATTTGAAAACAGCACTAGAAAATTTCAAACCTTCTGAAGTCAATAAAATCGATGCTGATGGAAATACAGTCCTTCACATAGCATCCTCTCGTGGTTACATTGATATCGTTCGATTTTTGTTACGTTATCATGCTCCTCGAACAATTCGAAATAACAATGGACTTATTGCTGAACAACTAGCAATGAATGAAGAAATCAAAATGCTTTTCAACGTTAATGTTAGACCTAAATCAGATTCTGATTATTTCGTGGCTACAACATCTGATGTTGAATGGGTTGATACCTATAATAATGCTGATAGAATCTCTTATGAAAATCTTGAACATATGAAGCGATGGGTGTTGAAAGTTCCATTACAAAAACTACTCGATGAAATTTATAATGGTTATATTAACAAATTACAAAAACTTGATGAAAAGCAACAAGAAGCAATTAAAGATCTTACAAAAAAGGAAATACCTAAAGGATTAATAAAGGCCTATACTTGTCCTAGCATTTCTTTTTACAAAATTCTAAATGAAGATTTAGCTGAAGTTGGCTCTGATTTTCGTTTTCTCAGCACACAAAATCTGATTAATTCCGGTTATTTAGATAATGAAGCACCGAAAGGTCTTGGTCAACATATATTTGCTGCAATTATTATCAATCATCCTTATTTTCGTCCATTTTATTGGACTGGCACTAGTTATCGTGGAATGAATGTAACACAACACGATCTCAAAGAATATGATAAAGATAATATTGTTATGACTCGATCATTTCTTTCCACGTCAAAAGATCCAATTGTTGTTGAATGTTTTCTTGATCTCGATACTAATCATGATTACGATAATCGTATACCAGTAATTTGTACTTATGAAGTAAAAGATCCTGGATCAAGCCTTGATATTAATACAATCAGTTTTATTGAAAATGAAGACGAAGTACTCATTCTTCCTTTTGTTGTTTTTCGAGTTACAGAGAAACGTGATGATGAAATCAATCGGGGAAACAGTATGCATCGTGTCATACGAATAAAACTTGAAGAACGTGTTCGAAATGTTTCATAAGTTGTTTTTTTTTTTGTCAGTGTTTTATTCATAGCTTGAAAATAAATTTATGCAATATTCAAACAAAAAAGTGATTTCAAATACTCGTACAATGTTTCTAACATTAAAGAAAAACATGAAGTCTTAATTCATATTCTAGGCACCCGTAGGGTGTTACAGATTCTCAGGTCGAAGCGTACGAGCCGGATCTGGTAGAAAAGCTCTGACAATCGATGTGGTTTGAAAGTAATATTCCACACCTGGAAACTTTCGGATTTTCCCAAGGTCTTTCGACCAAATTCTTGTTTCTTGGGGGTGGGTGGGTGTGGGTGTGGGTGTCGGAGAAAGATCAATCACACCCACACCCCAACCATGGCAACATGGTTAGGATTTGACATTCCGATTGACTCTGAAACAGAATTCGATGGAGTACCATTGACAGGCAAAGTATCATTAATGAAACCGAATATCACCTTACATGGTACTAGTTTACAAATTAGTTGGACAGTCTTAGATCCTATAGGACATGTAAAGGGGTGATTATCAAAGACAAATTTATTTAAAGATGGTATGACAGACAATTATCATTTAGTCGATACAGGTTTCATAAACAAAAACATGACTATCATTAATATAACAGAATACTCATCAAAATCCTATAAAATAGTCCTGGAAGGACAATACAATATGGTGAATAGATGGATATTTCGATCATGAAGTTACATTATGCTATTTAATAAAAATAAAATTACGATTGTTGTGGTATTCATTTTTTAAACAGAGAAAACTAATAAAAATGTGTATAAATTAGGTTGATGTTGTAAAAGACGACTATAAGTTTCATAGTCATCTTTATTTACAAAGCAGAACATGTGGAGTCTTGCAGGGAAAGACTGCGAACAATAATAATCTGCTGAAATGATTCTGCTGCATTGATTAACTATGCATAGATATCTTCATTCACATTTCGATTATACCCAATCAGTACGTTAGGCACACATTGGCTTCTACCGATTATTATTGCACACTAAGATAAAAATGTGTTGCACTGAATGTGTCGCAGGTTGGATGTGGGTGTTGCCATGTAACGAAGAGAATATCTACACCGGCATCCAGACCGCTCAGTAGTTACATCCATCGAGTAAGAGACTTCCTGCTTATCACGATACATCTGGCAAGCAGATAATAGTGAAGTGTGCTCACTAAAACAGCGCATTGTGTAAATTTTTTTCACGTGAGTATGGATGACGTTTTAACGTTTTTTTTTACTTTCTAAAAATAAAGTTAAGTAATGTTGGAAAACTTTCTTTCTGCTTTACGTGTTCGAAAAGGAAGAAAGAGAATCTTTGATGTTCTTTTAATGAAAAAAAATAAAAAAGTCAAAAACAAGGGAGAAAAAGTTGAGCTATGTATTGTATTTTCGAAAAAAAAAACTGACATATTCAAAATCAGAAATGACATTCTGCATCCAACCAACTAGGATTCCGTAGAATATAAAAGACCTTTTTTGATAGTCTTGAGACTCTTCTCTACAGGTTACAAAGTAACAGGTGAAAAATGAAAGCCATTTTCAAGAAACAAAACTATAGTTTTACGCAGAATTTAAAGCTGATTCCGAACCTGCAATTTAAAAACAAAATAAGTAACCCAACTTTCTTTCTCTTTTTCTGTTGACTCTATTTGCTTTTTGATTTCTTTAAAATTTTTCTTGTTAGAGCAACATAAAAGATCTAGTTCTTTGTTTTCGAACACGAAAAACTAAAGAAGAGATTTTTAACTCTACGTTACCTTTTTTTTATGAAAGTAAATGAAAGTGCCACATCTATACATAAAGTTTATTTTTCCAATTGTAATTTTAGTGAGAAACCAATCATGCCAATCGCCAATGTGTGAAGAATCCATATTCATTATGATGTTGATGGTCAATCAGGCTCATGCTTTGCATTCATGTCGAGTGGTCGGAAAGCAGGATACGAAATCCATTTACTCGCGGAGAAGATCGCCAATGCAGGTTACCATGTACTGAGGTGTGGGTGTGGGTGTTGGTAGGAACATGACTGGCTTGAAGTACTACACCCACACAACCACAACCCACACTCCATCCTCCTAAGGATGAAAGAAAGAAATTTAGTTGATTTGTCTTTATGTCTTTTTGATGTCATCTCATAAAGGCAAACATCGACAAAGTATTGCTGCTTGAGTATTTTAGATTTCTTCTGAATTGTAAGAAATGGATGAAACTACTTTGTGGAATTAAGGCTTCCGTGCCCTCAAAAATCGATTTCAGTCCAGGAACGCCTAAATAGTCTGATAGTTGAAGGATATGTTGGGCCTAAAGTGAGAAAGCTATGATAAAATTTTCAGCCAGAAATTGTGAGTTTTAAGGGAGATATCGATCAAACAATAGTGAAAAATAGGTAATTTGGCATCCAAAATGTCTCCGTCTAGACTCGTCTAATATATTTAAATTTCTTTTGTTTGAAAGAGCTTGGCAAGGTGTAGGGTATGACGAAGCCCGAGTTTTTCAATGCCCACTTCTCAAGCGCAAAAAAAGGAATTGAAGTTTGACGATTGGAAAAAACCCTCGAAAAAGTGTTCTCAGTTTATATAAGTGCCAACATAAATAACAAAAAAATGCCTAATTTAAAAAACTGGTCTCGTCATGCTCTGTACCTGCATCTTTGCATGCTCTTTGAAACAAAAAAAAAAAAAATTAAATATATTGGACAGACCTGGATAGAGAAGTTTTGGATGCGCGTTTGAAATAGTGAAAAATGAGAAAAAACCGCTGGTTTTTCGAATAAGGGGTCTCGGAAAACCTGAAAAATTTTTGGGGAAAACAAGATATCGAGGAAAACATTTTATCGTTTATGAAAGAGCAAATGACGAGCTATCTTCCGATGCATTTATCTTAATTTTGACGCGTCTGATGAAGACTGACTTTTTTGAAAGAGAGGGGGGGGGGGGGGGGAAGGCTTAAGTAAAGTTCTGAAATAGATGACATTTTCTGACCAGAAATGCATAATCCAATTGTATTGTTCCAAGAAGAGGTCTGTAAGAATTAAGAAGGAATGAATTCGATTATTCTTATAGCATAAAGGTAAATGAATAAAATTATTTTCCACTTTAATTTGTAATTTTAGCAGAAATAATTTTTCGTTGGAGAGAAATGTAAAACTTTCTAGTAGAAATCTGCAATCTACTTCTAGCATTAGAAAGAGAAGTCTATAGCATATAATAGGAACTCTATGAAATTATTCTCACACTACAAGAGGAAATACATAAAATTACTTCCCAAGATAAGTTGAAGTTCAAGGAAACTTGATTCACCTGTGGAAAAGTGGAATTAAAGCATTCCTCTAAATATTTATTTCATTTCTCCTCCTGGAAAGCTTTCTGGGAAAAAAACGAGCGATCTCTGTTTGAATGGAACTCAGACAAACAAATTCTCGATCGATTAGTCCAGTCGACTATTGCTACCCCTATTTGTTATTGACTTTTTGTACGGTTAGAAATGGTTTCTCCTAGAAGTTCAGCTTTCACTGAAAAATAATTTTATTCATCTCTGCTAATGCTAGTAAAGTAATCTGATGAATTTTCTTCTTGTCAGAATAGAAATTGTCGATCGAGTTCTAAATATTAATAATTCTGTCGTTGGTTGTAGTTTGCTTAAAGAAGCGTTTCTGCTTGAAAGCAGAATACAGTTCTACAATATCTTGTTGCTTTCATATGTCAATGAATACTAACTTATACAGAAGGGAATCAAATAATTCTTCTTATGATTGAATATTTTGCTATTTAGATATAGAAAAAGAGAAAGAGAAAGGAAGTAAATTTTTTGAACATAATTGAACGACTTCTTCTGGTTATCATTGCTATTGTTCTGCAACCGATGGCTGTCTTCTTACATCAACATACATTCAGTAACGATGTTATTATTAATATTATTTTAACTCTTCTATTCTGGTTATCTGGTAAATATGATTATTATTCAGACGTCATTCAGTGCTGTCGAATTATGCACATATTGTTTATCTGCTTTTTAGGTTTGATCAATGCCATTTGGATTATTCTACATTGAAGCTATCATTTTTCATATGAGGGAAAAAAAACAATTAAAAGCTGCTTATCCATCCATTCACATGAACTTGACTTTTTATTAAGCATTTTCTAAATAAATAAACTTGTCATTGACGGTCGTCTTATTACAAATCAGGACTATATGACAATATAATTCGATCGGTAATTTAAGGTACAATAAAAGAAAATTTCATTCCATTGTTTCCAACTTTAAGCAATTGCGTACAAATTCATTTGCTTTCTCAATGTTGTTTTCAGAATTAATCTAAAAGTGTCTTTTTCCGTCACTAAATAGGCTTCACTTTATAATTGCCATTTCGTGACAATCAGTATTTCGAATCGCGGAAATTTTTCTCCATGATATTGCCTATGAATTAAGAAATTTTAGAATAATTTTTATTTGCGTTTTGTAAGAAGAAGTTACCTTTCCTGAGCTCATAATGATATCATCATACACACAATATTACACAGAACAAAGCGAGCTCTGTATGATGCCATGTATTTCAATAAAAAAAAGCAAAGATCATGTATGATGTTATGAACGAGTGGGAAATGACCATGCCTTATTTGAGAACTAACCTTAAATCTATCATTAAGATGGCTGTCAATCGAAACAAAATCAAAAAAGGCGACAAGATCTTTGCCACTAAAAATTCAACGATACCAAAGAACTCTAGTAATTGAATGCTGTTTTCGCAAACATTCATACAGGGAGACAAGTGCAGTGATATGATCCAAGACAATAATGCATATCCTTTTGATGAAGCAGTTTAATACTGATAGTGTGGGTGAGTGCATGTAGAATCTGCCTGTACCTGTGGCTATGGGAGATGTAAAGACCGATTCCTACATCATCACACACGTATAATCCACAATCCATACCTACATCCTCACTCTAATTGATAGGATTTATTCAATATTTGAATACCAATATTCAGTTAAATGAATAAAATTGATTCTCAAGTTCAAAATATTTCACCATGATTTTGGCCTTAAACAGTATGCCCTTGAAAACATTAATCAATTTTAAATTAGTGTGTTGTTATATTACCAGTGTTAAGGGTGTAGGTGTCTTCGAAAGAAAGAAATATCTACACCCACATTCCACTCTGAATTCACTTGGAACTTTTTACACATATAGTAGATACTTAAGACGAACAGTTAGTAACAAGAGAAATAGTTTTACTTCTTTAGTTGGTCAGATAAGGATGAAACAAAAAAGACGCAGCATTCTTGTTGATCAATTTTGATACTCGCTATGTATATGTCATCAGATAATAGTGATTTTTATAATCTAAGTGAAACAATTTATGAAAGAAATATATAGGAGGATTAAGATAACATACAAGGTCGAAAAAGAAGAGTATCGCTTTACATTAAAATGTGTCTATTTCTCAAAACAAGCAATTATTGAAAGTGTCAATGAAAAGTTTATCTTTTCATATGCATAACATGTTGGTGTTATTCTTACTTGGCATTATTGTTGATGCTTATTCTCATTGTCGGTAAGGTACAAATATGAAGAATAAAATAAATTCCTATCAGAATAATAGATCTATATGTTTTCTGTCATTTTATCAATGATAATATCTAGTGACTAACCCACTTGTTCTATGGAAAACTAAACCCGCCAATTTTATCTTTACTGGTTTCCGCAGTATAGTACGCCATTAGTTCATAAATTATTTTGACATATCTGATTGCGAGGAGCCATACGAATGAATGATTGTATATTTTTCCTTTCGAGAAGAAAAACCAATCACGTCAGTAAACATGCAGATATACATGCAAAACCATTGTAGAATATTACATTTTAATATCAGAGTTATATTAAATGAATTATACATTACTTAAAATCGTAGAGTTTACAAAACCAAAACAAGGTCGAATGAACATCAAATTATTTTCGAACATTAACTAAATAATTTCTAATTATCTTAGAATCTTGTCATACTATGTTTTTGTCTTCACTAGAAACCGTTCGAAATATAATAAAAATAATGAATAACTTCGTTATTTGTTGGTCTTAGTACTTCATTAAAATTGCTTCGACTTCAATTTAGAATATTACTGAAGATAGTGATAAAAAAAAATAACACGATAAGAAATGATCGAATGCATTAAGGAAACTTTCTACTTTTTACGATGGTTCTTTGCTTTTTTTAATGGGAAGTGAGCTACATCATTCATATTTACGTCAGATAAGATCATTTTCTGATATTGCTTGATCTTTTTTTCTCTATTTAGATCATCGTAGTAATGTCAATACAGTTGTATTTACTCTTGATTTTGCAACTCTTTTCATGTTTTTCCATCAAAACTAAACCGAAATTAAGTTTCGATGAATTTTTTGATTATACTACGTTTCCGTTATTGAAATTCTCTCCAACTGGTCGACATTTGCTTATTCAAACAAAACGTCCATCATGGAATACTAGTTCTTATGAGCATACTTTATGGCTCTATGATATAAAAAATCAAACAAAAAAATTAATTACAACAAATCTTCATAAAACAATCAAACCACAATGGTCACCAAGTGGTAACTGCATTGCATTATTACCTAAAGTCCATTTATCAATTAATAGAACCAATGATTCCCAAACTAAGCAGCAATCAGAACAATATATTTATTTATATTCTCTCATATCAGATGAACTATTGCCTATTGAAATTGGAAAAGATATGCTTTTAGCTTTTACATGGTCTAACAATGATTCAGCTCTTTATTTAGCTGTCACTAATTCAGGGTCAAAAGCTGACGAGAGTGAGTTATACAAAGATGAATGGAAAGATGTTGTTCAATATCGACAAAATTTAATGCATAGAAGTAGTACAATCTATCGTCTTGATCTCAATTCACACAACCGTCCGTTATCTGTGAAGAGAAATATCATTCGAAATGTATCTTCTTTAATCAATGAACTCCTATATGTTTCATTTGAAGAAAAACTCGTCTTCTCATCTATGTCTACAATTAATGAAAATTTAGCTGATTTTGAACTATATTCGATTGATCTTCAAAATACATCGACATTATCAAAATTGACACATAACGAAGCACTCGAAATGGGACTACAGTTGTCGATCGACGGTCGGCATATATTATTCCGAACACTCAATCGTACTTCGAATATAGGAAAAAATCATGCGTCACAATATCGTCTTTATTCTTTAAACTTAATGAATGGACAAATAACACGTTTAGGTGAAAAATTTCGTGGTAGTATCATGGACTACACAACAAAGCCTAATTCTGGTGTTTATATACTTGGACAATTAGGAACAGAAGTACAAATTTATACACAACAATCACCAATGGAAGATTTAATTCATCACAATGGATGGAATGGAACATACGAATCGATTATATCATCCCATTATAATGGAACAATTGCATTTGTTTATTCATCATTAGAAAAACCAATGGAAGTTTATTTGATTAATAGTATTGATCAATTGAAATCAGCACAAGCAATTACCAATGAAAATGAATTATTTACTCGAAGAAATTTACCTCAAACAAAAGTGTACAAGTGGATAAATGAAGATGATCATCGAGTGATTGAAGGCATACTTCATTATCCACCTGACAAGTTTGAATTTAAAAATCTACCTCTTTTAGTTCTTATTCATGGTGGTCCATTTTGGGCTAGTCTCAATGTACTTGATCCAGTTTGGTATCATTGGGCTACTTTGGCAGCTTCAGAAGGTTGGTTAGTGTTAGAACCTAATTATAGAGGTTCGACAGGTTATGGTGATGAATTTCTCGATGAGATTCGTTATAGACCTTTATCTCGACCAGGAAAAGATATTCTTTTTGGAATTGATCAATTAATTAAAGATGGAATTGTTGATCCACAAAGACTTGCAGTTGGTGGTTATAGTTACGGTGGCTTTTTAACAAATTGGTTGATTACACAGAGCAAACGTTTTAATGCTGCTCTCTCTGGTGCTGGCGTTGCTGATCATACTTCAATGTGGGGTACAATGGATCTACCTGTACTGATCCGTTACTTGTTTGGAGGATATCCATGGGAAGTACCACATGTTTACCAAAATGAAGCACCTATTTATCAATTAAATAAAATACGTACGCCCACACACATCATTACAGGTGAAGATGATATTCGAGTTCCAGCAAGTCAAAGCTATATATTAGAACGAGGACTTCATTATCTTGGTATACCAGTCAAATTACTTACTTTTCCAAAGGAAGGACACACATTGAGTAATAACCCTTGGTATAGAAAAATAAAAGCTCGAGAAGAACTTAAATGGTTACAAAAATATGGCAATCAATCAATGAACTACAATGAACTCTCTAATAACAGTGATAAAACGAAATTAACTTATTTTTTACAATTCTATATGATTTTTTTTTCAATTGTAGTAATAAAGAATAAGTAAGATTCGTCAGGTGCCGATTCACTTGACCCTAGAGTAGCAAAATGCAGAATAGCATCATAAGATGAATTCTTATTGTTTGATTGAATATCTTAACTATTTTTTGATAATCATCATATTGTGTCTTTTAAGAGTACTTGTTCGTCATGTTTGGACTATCATTCTGAGAACAGAGACGTTCATGTCATAGTTTTTGTTGCCCCATGAGTGGGGCACATGGAGTAAACAAAAAGAAAAGATTATTCATTTTTCCAAAAAAATATGAGCACAACGAAAAAAAACAAGAAACACTATTAGAAAATACACAATAAAAGAAAAGTTTATAAAAAGATATTTCATAACAAAACATTTATCATATTTCATAAAAAAAAAAAGAAAGTTGTTTGTATCAAACACAGTCATTGTAATTTTCTTGAAATTCATTTCACATATTTACTACAGTAAGATATATATAGAGAGACAAGTATGTACGACAGAAAAGGAAATGACTGAAGGGCGTGGGTATGGACGAATACATTAGTTACTCCAACACTCAAACCTACACCCACACCCACACACCAATACCCTCGAAAACCGTCGATCAAATGTTATACAGTATCGTCATTTTTGAAAAATAGTCTTCCTTTAACGAAATGATAAAGTCTAGAAATTTGTCATTCTTTGATGACGTAACTACTTTAACTTTCATTTTCTTCATGTTAAAGTGTAGCCTTGATGGCGGCTGCCATCTGCTTCTTATTCGTATTAGATAAGTGAAACTGTTCCAGCTTTTGGTTAATTAAGCGGCATTTAAAAAGTGATCAACCTCAGTTCAAGCAACTTGGACTAAAACCATCTTTATAAAAGAAGTTCATCATAAACAAAAATGACGCGAGATAGAACTCTTTTAAATCTCTGAAACTAATTGTTATTTTGCATGGCTCCTTAAATTATCTAGAACCATTTGATGGTTTATTAATAAATGAATAAAACCTTTAAAAGCTCTGAATCTTGGCTAAAACTCTTAAAAGTTCAGTCGGGCAGCATTTTGTTTGACAGAGTAACAGATTGGTGGCCTATGAAATGCGTTAAAATCTGATTTTTCAACCATTTAAAGTGTCCGAAATTACGATTTTTGATGCGTTTGATGCAAGAATTTGACACAATGATTGCATTTCACGAACGTTAAAATGTTTCCATAGAATACGTTAAACATTATTAAAAATGTTCGAGTTTTTTGCGTTTTAATACAGTTATTGTAGTAACGTGTTTAAACTTTTGTCTTTTCACTCATTTTAACGATGTTAAAAGTCGAAATTATATCAATTGTTAAAATCCGAAAACTTTGACATTTGTCGATGTATAGAAGGCATTGAAAGACAAACGGAAAGTGTTTCTTATAACTTGTTAATTTCTCATTTCTGACTGCTTGAGTATGTCTACCAAAAACTTGTAATCTTGAAAGACTTCATTATTATGTATGAAAATCAACATACATATTGTATTATGAGTCGTTGGTGTTATACTATAAATGACAAACCTTGAGTCAAATTGTTATACTGTTAAAAATATGAATCATATTTTGATCTATAAATCAATTCATTAAACAATTATCTGAACGAATAAATACTTCAAAACTTCAATAAATATTGATCTAACCTTGCACAATATAAAAACAAAATAAGAGAAAGAAAGAAAAAAAAAAAGACCAGCATGCATGCACACTCATACACCTTTTTTCTTATTTGCATTGACGAGGTCATTGTAGATTATTTTTTCTTCTAGTTTCAAACGACAGATAAGGAAATCAGGTCAGGCATATTATGTTTTCACTTTATATAAATATTTTAATGAATCAATCCATCACAATTCTTCTTTAGCGTCCATTCATTTAACACATTTGAGATACATTTCAGAATTTCTTTCAATTACACGGTAATAATTTGTGCACAATCAGTTTTAGTTTTATAAGTTTTAGATGGGCCAACATTTGTCCAGCATTAATTGCCAACTTCTGCATGTGACCGAATCAGATTGCTCTATTCCCAGTCCTGCTGCAATTCTTTCAAATATTGGCCCGGAAGATGTCAGTTTATTTTTATCCTCGGAAATTCCTTCTAATACAACCAATGATGAACGTCGAATGGCAAGATCATGGATAAAACAAATTCAAAATTATTTATACCTTTTAACACATATACCTGATTTTGGAATAATCAATACTGCGTTCGATAATATATTCATATCAATTATCACTGACTATAGACAAATAATACAAGAAATAAATAATAATCTTCAAAAACAAGAACAAGTAAAAACATATTTTACAAATAAACTGAAAGATCACAACAATAATAGACAACAATCTTCGATTACATCAAAACTTTCTAGTCTATTCAAATCAACTGAAAGACATATATCACCAAGAACTTCTCACATATATGAATCAAAAAAAGATTCATCATCATCATCATCATCATCATCATCATCACATGATCGAATTACAGAAAGACAATTAGAAAGAGTTTTACACAACTTTTTAACTTCCACTACTTCACTGAAAGACGTTCTATATGTTTTAAAACAACTGCTATTCGATACAACTAATGTTTATGCTATACGAAATATTCTTGCACAATTAAATGATCGTTTTACAGCAATTCGCAGTGAATGGGAAAAAGAACAAATCACAAATAATGACAACGGATTAAACCAAACAACAGGTTAGATTTTACATTCTTCGTTGATGAAAATCTTTTTTTTAAATTTTTAGATCAAAAGTTCTTGACTTACTTAACTTCAATGGGAGGATTTCCTAACACTCGACTAAGAAATTTGCATAGGAAACAACTTCTTGGACAATTTATTTCAGTCTTTATATTTATACATATTAATTTTCACAATGCAATCAATGCAAATAAACAATACAATTCTAGTTCAATGTCATTTGACTTTCATCCAAATACATTTAAACAATTATTTGACATTATCCAACAATTAACAGTTATACCACTTGAAGATTTGAATATGAATCTGACTTATATTTTAATTATTTGTTTGAGATTATTTACAAAACATTTAAAATTTCTATTTGTTCTAATAACAAATCCATTTCGAAATTTATTATTCACAAACGATGATATAATCAAACCTGTTAGTATTAATCAAGACATCGATTTAAATGAATTTATTCATGACAATGATTTACAAACATGGTTTGATACTTTATTAATCCTAGCTTGTCGTGATGATGAAAAACTAGAACAGATAACAATCTGTAGACAAGCATCAAAAGCTCTTATGCAAATTCTTAATAAAAAAATGTCTACCTTTACCGAAAAGTTATCATTTATTCATAAATACATTATCGAAAATAAACATTTGATCTTAATTAACGAATTAGTAGTAGAATTGAATAAAAATACAACATTACTCTGTTGGATTGAACTCTTATGTAATAATAAATCAGAGAATATAACAGCATTGAATATACTATACTCATTTATTGATATTTCCTTCAATTCTTCGAATGAAATGGAATCAAAAATGAAACAACAAATTCAACAAATATTACAACGATTTCAGCAATTTCTCTTCATTCGATTATCATCAACATCGTCTCTAGCGAATAAATATATTACTTATATATTAAGTAATTTGAATGATAAATTAGTTATCGAAAATGAATTATTAAATTCAATTCTCATCAGTTTGGGTTTATTGACAGAAACACATTTTAATTTTGTAACAATTCAACCACTTATCACAAGTGTTTTACCGTTACTAGCAGACCTAATATTGAAGAGTACAATGAATGAAGGTATAATAGCAAATAATCTATCTTACATGTATTGGGTATTAGGTAAAATGAGTGCTACTTTGATGGTCGGTCCTCAACCAGATGCATTAGAAATGAAATATGTTGAGAAATTACAATCACCTCTATTTGCTGGTGGATGTGAGAGATTACCTATGGAAAACAATCAGTATTTATTGGATTTATTGAAATCGAATATCGCCAATTTCAGTGGATTTAAAATAACTGATTACAATCTTCAACAATCATTATCCGATCATGAATTTTTAATGTCAATTTATAATAATATTGATCAAGGTGCAAAATTAATATCGAAAATGAAAATCTATATGAAAGATAAACAAAATTTAGTACAAAAATCAATTGAACAACAAGCAAATAATGCATGTGCTGCTTTGTTTGCTGTTTATATCAAATATTATCGTCGAATCAATTTAGCCAAATCGGAACTCTCTCGAACAGATGATAATAAACCACATAAAAAACTTTTATCTATTTTCGAATATGCAAATCTTGTTCAAATATTGTTTGCAAAAACAAAAGGACAAGGTGGTAATTGTGACGAACTTTATGAGCAAATTAAAATGAACACATTATTCCTCTTAACATCCATCAAAGAAAGTAATTTGATTCCGATAATCGAATATGAAACTAATGAACAAGTAAATAAACCAAAATTCAAACGTTATTATTCACGAAAAAATATTGAAAAGCATAATATTCGATTACTTCGAAATATGTTTCAAGCTTGTATGCGATTTAAAAAATTAATATTAATTAACAAGAAGGGAATCGAAGACAAACAAGATAATGAAAATATTCTAAGACGAGCTATTGATTATTATATATTTAATGAAAAGAAATCAGAATCAGATGAATTAATACAATGTATGTTTCGACAATATGAACGAGCAATATTAAGATTAATTACATATCGATTTATTCATAAATTCATAGAAAAACTATTTGATATGAACAATCAAAATCAAATTCTCATACTTTTAAGAATTTATTTACCATATTTAAGAAAAGCAAATATTGAATGGTCATATTTAGAAAATATTTCAACCACAAATATTCAATTAAAAGAAGATATTGGAAAGAATTATTATTTAATTATTAAAATTATTCTTTCTTATTTATTACAATCAACAAATATTGATCAAATGATATTAACACAAAATATATTCTATTTACTTAATTTATCTTATAATTTAATAGATATTTATTGTATACATAATAATGAAGTTCTTCAAATATTATTTAACAAATTCAGTAGCACAGATCTTGATGTAAAATTTATTCGATACAATTGGTTTCGGTTATATGTATTTAAATTTTGCGAAAATTTTCAAATTGAAACAAATTCAATTTTGAATGAAATACAAGAATTGATCTTTGAGAAAATAATTCTTACTGAATTGAAATTATTAAAACAATCAGAAGAGAAAACAACACTTATGAATAAAAATAATTCATTCAATAATGTTGCTATTGAATGGTTCATCAAAGCAAAAGATACAAATAATATATCATCAAAATTCGAAGTTGATCTGTATATCAATCAATATTTAATACTTCTATTACGATGTGTTCATTTGTATGAACATGTACGATCATATTGTGCGAATGATCAATATATTGAAGAACTAATTTATATTTATCGAAATAGTGGAAATCAAATAACTATTTTAATTTCTTTAAAAATTCTACAGAAATTAGTGAGATATTTACCGGAAGATATGAATGGAAAAACACAATTAATGATGAATGAGTTTTTAACCAATATTTTATCTTCTATCGGTAAGACGACAACAGACATAACCACTGAATTAATCTACATATATCGAATAATTATGTCATGTAAATCACCATGGCAAACAATGGCCATTCAAATAATCTCTGATACCATTACATCCAATTTGAAATCATTTAATTCGATTGATAATCTTCTAGCATCGTTATGTGTCTTAGGAAGATATATTCAACCTTTTTGCTTAGGTTCAGTCATAGAAATTCATACAACTGATGAAACTCAATTAGGAGTAATTATCGATCTTAATATCAACTCTCATGATCTCGATACATCTGATACACTAATTTATCTTGTTCAATATATTGAAACAAACAAAACTGAATGGATAACAGGAGATAAATTAAAAATAAAAATTGATGTTCTCCCACCGAATCTTTTGGATTTACCCAATGCAAATAAATTTATAGATTTCTTATTTGATGCATTAGCCTATTTCATACAAATCGATACATCAACAACAGAATCTTTACTTTTCTTACAATTAAAACGTCGATCTATAGCCGTTTTATATCGAATATTAAATCATAAAAAACTCGTGAATATATTCATGGAAAAATCATATGTATCAATCATCGCTAAATTATCAACATCAGCTTTGCTATCAAAAACTGCTCAATCATCAATAGATTTACATTTATTAAATAAATATCATTTAGAACAATACTGTTTAAATTTAGATCGTTGTGAATATTTTAAACAAATTCTTGATGATACAAATGAAACTATTCAAGATGAATTTCGTATTTGGACAGATGTTTCATTTAAAAAAGATCAATTAACACTTGATTTTTCATTAACAACAAATGAATGGAAATCAAAGATGTCAAAAAGAGAACTTAAACTATTTAAAAAAGGTCGATTTGGAAATGATGAAATAAAAATTATTCCAATGTCATTTGGAAATTCTGGAAAATGGTTCATAGAAGAATGTGGAATAACACATCGATTTCCAGGGCGAGTTAATTTAATTTCTGAAAATTTTAATACATTATTTGTCACATTTATTATTGATAATTTACGATTAACTGAAGGTAATTGGTACTTTTGTATTCGATTATTACAATCAACTTCAGCTCAAATTGGATGGGCAACAAATGGATTTAAACCTAATCATTCTATTGGAATAGGTAATGATAAATATTCATGGTCATATGATGGATCTACAGGAATCATTTATAATAATAAACAATATTCATTTCCATTCGAAAATATTCTTTGGAGTACGAATGATGTTTGTGGTTGTGGAATTGAAATAAATAATGATCATATACAAATTAATTATTGGTTAAATGGATATTTCTTAGGTACACCTTTTTCTCATCAATTTCCAATAAATTCAACAACAAAAATATGTAATATGTTACCAAATGGATATCGAACAAGTTATTTTCCTGGTGTGACTTTAAAAGTAAATAATATAACAACGTTAAGTGCTTGTGAATTTATATTTCATCCAATGGATATGTTTGAATGTCCATTGCCAAACAACTATAAACCATTATTACTTCCGACTATGATCGATATTGATGATTCACTTGTTGCTTATCCATTTAGTGCTTATTTGGTTGGTGAGAATGTACAAGATTATTTTATTCCTACACGAAATAATAAATCAATTCGATTTTTACGTGATTTTATCAATAATTATCACCTTGAATGTATATTTATAGTGGAAAATTATCAATTGATATTGCCGGAACATAATGAAGGCTTTCCATTAACTATCGATGATCAACAATCATTGACAATTAGTTTTGATTTTTCAGTTTTAAAGATGTCTCATGATTATCTTGATATTCCATTATTAACATTTGATCCACCGGATGTATTTTCAATACAAATACCCATAAATAAAATTACAAATAAAACACAAATAGCTATAATATTTCAGTTAAATGAACGAAAAATAAAAATTTACATTAATAATGAATGTCGAATATTGGAAAGTCCAATCATAACAAAATTTCATATTCATATTTTACCAAGAATAGCTGTTGGAATTGAAAATCTTGCTATTTGGAAATATGCTTTATCGAAAGAACATATTCGACGTTTATTTACTTCTGGTTTATCCTATATTGCATTTGATTATTATCGATTAAATGAATATCGAAAACAAGCAAATATATTGACATTTAATACTGAAGATAAATACTTTGAAAATGAATTGAAACATTTTAGAACAAATAATGGAACCTTACAAGTATTCGGCAATAAAACTTATTTTGTTTTAGATAAATCTCTAGATTCATGGTCGGTATATACACTTGTTTTTGATATTTCTATCTATCATTTACCAATCATATTAGTAGAATTAAATGAACAATCACAAATATGTATAGCACATGATGGTCAACTTTATCTATCTGTCAATAATGAAAAATATATTCAAAGTGAATCAAAATTGAAGTTAAATGAATATATACGTTTGCTAATTTCTGTTGAAAAAAATTCTATAAAAATCTATGTCAATGGATTATTAGAACTTCATGGAAATGTAGATAATGATCAACTAACAATAAAAGACAAACAAATTAATCTCTTCAAAGAATTAGATTCAACTAACAGCACAATTAATGAAGATACACTTCGAATTGAATGTAAATCAATCACTTATTTAAATAAAGCAATTCTTGACAGTGATGAACAAATGAAATCTCCAAATAATTCATTAGAAAGTTTAGTTGCACCTCCATATTCAATTATATCACCAAGTTTAATTCGAATTGGATATGATGAATTATCAATAAGATCTGCTATGAAATACACTATGACCACAAATATTCAATTGATTGATACAATTCTACGTGAAAAATATTATAAACATGATAAAAATATTTTATCAAAACTTGGATCATCAATTAATAAAGAAAAATTGAAAGATTTACTTCAATTTTCTCAATTTGATACTGAAGAGAAAATAGCAGCTCTTGCAGAAATTTTACTCATTCATTGGAATGATATTCAAACATTATCAACATCATCGACTGATAAAGACTGGTTCTATGAAACTATTCATCATTTAAATCTTAATGAAAATCTTTCGGAATGGATTCAAGATAAATCAAACATAATCGAACCAACTGATCTTACTTATCAACTATTTGATTTAAATCAATCTATAGATGAACAAACAAAAATCACCACTAATATCATTGATGATCAATGGAAAAACATTAAATATACTTATCAACATATGACTCGCAATAAATATCATCAATCTCGTCTTGCTTGTGAATATGATTTGATTTCAATCTATGCACACTATACAATTATAAATATATTAACAATTTGGTTTAATGATGGATCAAGTTTATTTCCATTAGAAGAATTTGGTGATGCAACATTTATTGTAACATTATTTCGATTATTAGACTATCACACATGTTTACATATTGATGAAACTATTGATAGAATGAGTTTGTTAATAAATTCAATTCTTAAAGTTGAATTAAATGAATTACTTAAATATCATCGAATAAGAAATAATAAGATTACTAATGATATATTACAATATAAAGGTTTTTTACTTTATTATTTACAAAAAGATATTATGATTCAATCGATTAAAATTTTATTTGATCCATCATTATTATCTTCAGAATATAGTGAAGAGTTTGATATAAAAAAACCAAATATAAATTTTATTCTTAAATTACTTCATCTATTTGTCAAATTTATATCTGAAAAAATGACGACAAAACAAGAAGACATTGATTTATTAATTTCATTATTATTTCCAGAATCTTTAGTCAATATATTGTTCAATTTATTTCTTATAAATCCAATGCATCAAATAAAAAGTACTATCCTTCAATTATTGTCTAGGTGAGTGAAATCTTTATCTTTCTCATAGTAAAGTACCACTAAACCTTTGTCGACGGGAGTTTTTCGAAAACTTCCTGAAATAAATTTTATTGTCATACACAAACATTCAGAAATGTATCCGACGCTTTTTTTTCACGTCTGTTTACACGAATACAAACCGCACACGATCTCTGTACAGCTTCCATTCATGATGTTGTCGAAACGAGAGCTGGAAAATGCCATTTTAGTGAAACGTATAGAATTCTCTATTGATCGAACGACCTCTATGTGTTTGATTGTGAGTGACTTTCAATTAATTCCCAAATTAACTGGTTCCGACACTTGTCAATATGAATATTCTTATTACATTTCAGTTTCAATAATATGTTAGTAGGGAAACATCTGAAAATTTACATATGTAGAACATGATAAACGATGTGTTTCAATAGAAAGCTAGAGAATGAATACCAGTTTACTTGTACAGTGACACTGTATGATGTCTCTGTAATAGCAGAAACACAAGAGAAAGCGCGAATCTAATCAAAAAATAATAAATTTATTAGTGTAACCACCTGATTAAAGTTCAAAACGTATCTATACGTTTCACGTCGCCAAAGGGTTAAAAGAAATAATTCATTTATCTATGGATGTCCAAATGATGACATCTCATAAAGGAACTAATGTTAATTAAATGTTTTATATCTGAAACTTGTCCTACTCCTACATATCATTGTGTGAAAGATGTACTATTTCTTATTTATGTTAGCATTCAATGTAAGATTTCGAATTTTGATGGACGAGCTAAAACAAAATAGAAGTATTTTCTCACATAAAGCATTTTGAAAACTGATTGAAAATAAGACGTAAATTTCACTAAGAAATGAGCACTTTTTATGTTTGAGCGAATTTATCGAACATACTCATACACAGTCAAACATGAGGAGATCTCCGTCAAAAAAGAATGCAGGTCTGGTATTGGAGTTAAATCAGAGATAGACAACTCTAGCTATGTGTCAGTTCCACTATCGGTACTTTCTGGAGTTTTTCGGCTGGAATCTGTGACTTGGCTGTTGAAAGCTCACTGGAACCGGACACTGGAGTCATTGACTTGGATATTTTCTAAGTCCAATTTCTCGTTTGTTTTTGTCACCCCGGTTCGATTCCAACCAGGAATTAAAGTTGTCCATCAGACATGATCATGGTCAGTTGTTTTAAGTTTTGATTGTGATCATTAAATTTGTTAGTCGTAGCATCCGTTTGCCTATTTCCAAAGTTGAACAGAATCTTCTATAAAACGCTTATATATCCAATATTTTTCGCTTCCAATTTAATTCTTTTGAACAACATTCAAATATTCACTTCGAAATCTATGTATTAGTCAATTGTTCTAAATTCTTTCTTTTTAGTTTAATACAAACAAGTGACAATTTCCATTTAAATCAAAATATTCAACATTTTCTATTCCATTTATTCATTGAATTACCACCAAATTCTACATCAGTATATACTCAAACAATGAGAACATTTCAAATCTCTCTCATGAATTTAATTTTTCTATTAACTAAAAGACAAAAATCTCAATCAATTACAATGAATATAACAAACGATCAATTTAATTTTCCTCAAAGTTTTCATGATCTATTAATATCAATTGATGTTATTGATGCTTTAATCGATAAAACAAAGCATAGATCATTTCCAGAAATGTTCATAAGACAATCAATTATTTTACTCGGTAAGAATCTTCAATTCACTAGAGATGATATCGAAAAATCAAATAATTATTTTGATACAATTGCTGATTTACAATTAATTAATTTTATGAACAATCATCTCCTCTTAAAAATTTCTTTTATTCAGTTTATCAATGATTTACCCATCGGATCCATACCTAATCCAACATATTACAAAACTTATCCATCTTTATGTCATATTCCAGCTATTTATATACAAATTCGTGCTAAACTTTTCTATCAATTTAATATATTTATAGAAAAATTAGTATCAGTTATTGATCTTAGTCTACTTCCGGGACAAAGTATTGTCACAGATCAAATTCAAAAAATCAAATCATACATATTATACGGAATAAAATCAAAACTATTTTATACAACTCTAACTCTTACTGAATTGGAGACACATCATGATATGCCTACTGTTAATTTCAATACAGTTAAAGCCAGTTCTGGTATAGATACGATGTTTAATCAAGCTTATGATCAATTATATAATAATGCTCATATAACATTTAGAAAAGAATATAATCAACTATGGCATGCACAATATCTTGGTATGCATAGTACAGATCAAGGTGGTCCATTTCGTGATTCTGTGACACGTATTTGTTCTGATATATGTAGTACACGATTATCCTTATTTATTTTATGTCCAAATGGACGAACAAATAGTGGTTTAAATAATGATCGTTGGATTCCCAATGTTTTCCCATCAAATAAATCAATTCCAAATCGAATAAAACAACAATATCAATTTATTGGACAATTAATGGGTATGGCAATACGAAAAAAACATTATTTGTCTTTAAAATTTCCTAATTTATTATGGAAACAATTAGTTCGAGAACGAATAACTATTGAAGATATTGAAGATATTGATATTCAAAGTTTTACCATGATTAATGAAATAGAAAAAATGATTAAACAAAATAATCAATTAATCGATATTGACAAAGTGTTGAGAACTACGTTCGATGAACTTCGATTTGAAGTTATTAGTTCAAATGGAAAAACATATGAACTTGTTCCAAATGGAAGGAATATTCCAATAACAACTTCGAATTTTCAAGATTATTGTTCAAGTTATCGTCAATATCGTTTAAATGAATTTTATCGACAAATTGAATGTATTCGTCAAGGATTGTATAGTGTTGTTCCTGGATATTTCTTAGGTTTATTTACAGCTAATGAACTTGAAGAAGCTGTTTGTGGCAAAGGAGAAATCGATATCGAATTATTAAAAAGAAATACAGAATATGGTGGTCGTTATAATCAAAATTCACCATCTATTCAACAATTTTGGAAAATTCTCAAGGAAATGTTCAACGAAGAACAGAAGAAATTATTTTTAAAATTTGTCTGGGGTCGATGTACATTACCAAGTTGTGATGATGACTTTGGATCAAAATTTAGGATTGAACCCTATCATATATCTAAAGGATCTGTAGATGGAGCACTTCCAAGTAAATGGAATTCTTATTAGCACATTGAATAATCGTATATCTTGCGTTTTTTTTCCAATTATAGGATCTCATACATGTACTTTTGGTCTTAATTTACCTAATTACTCATCAATTGATATCATGTATGATCGGTTGAATTATGCCATAACTTATTGCTCAAGTATCGATACAGATCGCCAGATGAATGAACCTCCTACTCCAACTGATTTAGAATCTGATGGGACAACAGATGAATCATGAACAAAATGACTGTGACTGTATCTTCCTATTCTACTACTTTTTCTTTCATATTTCAACGATGAAAATTTTCCATTATTTTATTTGATACTTCTTCGCATGAATATCTTGAGGGTGGCTGGATATGAGAGTCGATAGATGATACATTCTCATCCACTCTCGCCCTCAATCACATTTTTAATTCAGTTTTAATTCATCTAGTCCATTTGAGGTCATACATGGATGTCTTCTGTTTGTCCAAAATCCTTTTGATCAACATGAAATTGTCATTATCGTCGCAGAAGGACGAAACAATGTGGTTAGTCGAAAAATAGATCGTTACGAAACCGGATTGATTCAACGAAAATCAAGTCAATCACTTTTAGATCAGTTGAGAAGATGTCTAATTGGACTAGGTGCCAGCCGAATTGGGGCCGACTCTATTGCATACCAGTGCGAGAGGGACCCAGATAAATGAAACTAATGTATACCTAGTTCAAACTCTGTTTCAAGGTATTTCAACGAGGCTGAAATAGTGCTTTACCTTCGAGCAGACAACTATGATAATGACGCGAATGCATACCCACTCAATACTAGTGCACTAGGTACCACTATTTTTGGGTACCCAGTAATACTAATACCAATATATTGATCAAGCGACAGTGCTGGTCACTAGTAACAGCTCAGTAGATCAGTACAATACTAATACTGATGCATCTCTATACGTGATGTGACAACGTTGCTAACTTCTTTTTCTTATAGTGTTTCAAGTTGGAAACTTCAGTTTTTCACCTCTGTTAGTCATAGTATTTTTTTTCTTGTATTCGAAAGGTAGCATCGAGATAATTAAAAAAAACTTGCTTGACATTCACTTTTTATTTTCATATCTTATGACGGCTTAAACGAATTTTGTGTAGTCTATTCTGAGAAGTGTAGTTTTTTATATTGAAGTCTCGGTTGGAACTAGATTTTGCCAACATAATTAAAATGAAGCTATCTCGTATCTTGGACTCATGGTATACAGATTATACGCACTCAGAAAAACCCCACCACTGTGCAGTTACACAATAATTGAAATAGTAACATGAAAGAAAAAACCAGCACGGCATGCAACCATTCGACAGTAAAACATCAATATAAAGTGTGACTACAAGAGTCAAGAACATATCCGCCTGTTCAGCATGAAATAACGATTCATCATATTATTCTAAAAATGCATAACGCGTCCGTCAGAATAATTCATCCTCCTTCTGAATATTCCACATTTATGATAAAACACTACAGTTTTCTAAGGAACTCTATACTTTTTGTTCTTTGTGTAATGATGAAAATTTTCTTCACTGACACGTTTTGACCAACAGATAACACAAGTTTTTTTATTCATCATTTTTCAAAGCATGAATCAGTTTTTTAAAACATAGAAGTATGGCGTTTATGTTTCTCCAAGAATGCTGACTATGTAACTCTTCGACAATTCAACAGAATGAAAAAGAAATCTCACAAAACATTTGGGTACTGTTTCAGAGAACGAATTAGTTTTGTTTTCGATTACTCAGCACGGTCACATCTGCAGTCTTCCTTTCATAACAGCGTCATCAATGATCATTAATGGACTTTCGCCTTACGTGACTATTGACTCACTGCTCATTTTTTTTCAAATTCGAAAAAATCGACAGCCCACATTCAATGAAATACACCTTTTTCTATTTACTTATAGACTTTACCAAGCAAATAAAAGGAACGACTCAAGTGCACAGTTTTTTCATATAGAAAAACAAGAAAACTGTTTGAACATCTTTTAAATTTCTTTTGTTTGAGCACAAACGGGTAGATCGTTATGTGTATAGGCGTCATAGATTGTGCTCAGTATGTGTGCGCATGTTGCAGACACATTATCGGATTCTCTTGAATTCAAATCTAACATCAACAATGATTCGAACAAGAAGCTCAAACGATTCATGCGAAATTTGCACAATGCACTGTACAAACATGGTACAAAGCAACAAATGAAATCTTTTTTCCTGACTTTCTGCCCACCGGTGTAACATTGTGCTACCATTGCGACAGTTGCCACGGCGATCATATTCAAAATCGTAAAAGAAGCATGCTGATCGTTGTGTTGTTGCATTGCAAAAATAGAAATAGATACGAAGATCATAGAAACAAATTGTACTTGTATTCCTTGAAATTTGACATGGACGATCGTATCGCTTCGTAATAGATACTAACGCTTCAGAAGAAAACTGTTTTTCCTAATGCCCAATGCAGCCTTTTTTATCTACTGTTTTGCGTCCAAAGCCCGTCTGTCCAGGTCGAAATGGTACTAGATCGCATTTAGAGTTGTGTTTTTGAGAATTTGAGAACGCTCTTAAGGACATCTGAGGAGTTTTACCAAAAGCTTCGTGTAAATCGGTCAAACTAATCCTGAATTGTATAACACAATACTTAATTATTTTACTTTGAAATAGATGTTTTTAATAATGATATTCTAATAGAAATCTTTAGATTTATTTTGCTATCTCAGATATACTAATTAATCAAGATATTATATCGATTTCATTCATCTTGTTTTTAACTACTTTTTTTCTCAATATTCTTTACGTTAGTATTTCTTGTTGTTTAGAGAAATTTCAGAAAACTCATGATTCAGTGACTGAAACATGAGGGAAATGTACATTATTTTATTATATACTCTGTTAAATAACAGAGTTTTCGTTCATAACTATACTAATTGAAATTATTTAGACTTTTCGGACGATGAAAATCGATACAGATGAGATCAATAGATATCACCGAGATCTTCTATATGTATGAGAAAACTGAGGACAGACAAATCAATCTCCACTCATGGGATTTTTTAGATCTTAATTTTACTTAGAACCTATTCTTTTTTATTTCAATCTTGCATTAGCGAAGGTAGCTCATTAACAGAAATGGCAATAAGTAAACGCTACTTTTCTCATACAGTTCGACTTCTTTTCTCTTTAACAAAAGTTAATTTATCGAAAGTGATTTACATCAAAGTAGAAGACGCATACCTCAGTGTTAGATTTTAAAATAATACAGTCAACAAATTTGCGTCACCATATTTACTTTGAATGTTCTGTTAAAACTAGTTCCATATTAAGAATAGTATAATTGAGTAATTCTTATGGAGTGAGTGGAAGAGATTGAGCGCACTTATATAAAAGTTGCTTTGCGACATCTGATCCACATAATCCTTCATCGTTGACACAGACAATGGTGAGAACAAGCACACCGCCAGGAATAAGTTCACGTAAACGATGCTCCAAAAACTGAGACTAATCAATATGAGCTTGAGAGTCAATGGATTGATGTAGAAAAGTAGCCTATAGCAAGCGAATTCGATGGTAAACATTGTTCATAGAATGATCGCCCACAAGCCATTCCATAATAACTACCATCATTGTTAAGCAGCTCGAAAAGTCTTGCCCAGTCATTGGTTGCCAAAGCGTTATGAGCAATGAGGAGTGGTCGATCTTCCTTTTTTGACTGTCGTAGATATTCAATGATCGTTTTCATGGCATATAACGAGTTGAAACCGTGAGATGAGCCAAAGCCGGCAATGATGAGAGAAGTAGATGATGAAGAAAGATCGAGAACATCGATTGCTTGTTGAATGAACGATACCGAGAGTTTGACAGCAGCCATTTGTGGACGACAGTTCGAATTGTAACATCCAGTCATACCTTTGATCGAACCTGACATCTTTGTTGTTGTTATTTCATAAGGTGTCGAATCTGTTGTCACGAAGGAATGAAAAAAAGAGAAGCGAAAAATGTTAACGTTCTTTTTTCTATCGAGTAGACCATAAACAGTTTCGTGAGAGCGTAAATTTTACACCTCTCGTAGTCACACTCTTTTTGTATATACTTAGTCGAAATTTGATTAAGGTGGCCTCCCCTTAGAAAACTCATTTTTTCGAAAAAAAATCGAAGTCAAATTTTCTATCATAGGAAGATGTGCCGAAGTCGTCTCTTTCAGAATATATATGCCTCTTTTCCAAAAAGACCAAATTTTAAAAAACTTACCGTAGGAGATTGGGGCTGTACTACCATATTTTTCGAAGCAGTTTCGAGATTTTCGGTAGTTTTTCAATTTTTGAAAGACATTACTTTGCTATTTTAATTAGCATTGAAGAAAAAATTTTCATATCAATCATCAGGTGCCAACTAAACCTCGAGATAAGAAACACATAATTATTTTTTATTCTCACCACTGGATGTATAAATCACGTATATTGTGCAAAAGTTTAGTAGATTTGAATGTAAAATCCATTTCTAACAAGCGTGGCAGATTAAATGATCGTGTTTAGCATTTCAATTTTCAAATCGCTTAATATGTTGTATTAAAAAAAAGAAAATATATCACAAGATGTACCGTAAAAAGTTCTACAATTTACAAAGCACAGCTTATTTTTTATATGCACTTTTGTTTTCAAAATAGTCAAAATTCAATGGAACGAATTTTCGAAAACTCTTGGGTTTTATTTCTTTTTCTTTATTAACATTACTTATACAATTGTGACTGTTACTAGGTAGCTAGTATGTGCCTCTAACAAGTAACATCAGAACGAGTGGAGAAATACAGCTGCAACACCTATCGGTTATCTAAATTCTGTTACCGATTATGGCTTTCGATATGTTTCATTAACCAAAAGAATAAGAAAAAGAATTCGTCGTGTATCAGTAAATGATCATGTCCGCAGCATCGAAAATTGGTCGCATAGAGTTTTGTCCATTTTCAAAACAAAAGGTGCATATATAAATAAGCTGTTTTTCATAAATTGTAGAGCTTTTCATGCTACATCTTGCGCTATATTTTTTTTCAATGCAACGTGTTAAGTGATTGAAAATTGAAATGCAACACGTGGCCATTCAATATGTCCCACCCGTTAAAACTTCTTCAGCGTTTTTCTCAAAACATGGTTTTCAGGCAGAAAAATTGAAATAACTCCTATCCAATTCAGACTATAACTAATATTTTTTTGTCTTAGATGTCTG